CAAAGCAACTAAAATTAAAAAATAGATTATAAACTTTCGCGTGTTAAGACCCGTGTTTTGTTTCTACTTAATTAAACTTTAAATAACTACTGTTTTAATTTAAAAAATTAAGACAGTAGTTATTTAAAGTTTAATTAAGTAGATATTTTATACTCAGCATTATTTGATGAACAATGCACACAATAATAGTGGAGAGAAAATGTAGTGCACAAACTCTATAATGTTTGCCGCAATGCTTTTCTTGTCAAAAGCGACTCTAGCTACGATTAATAAGAGAGAGAACTGTTGATAATTAACACAATTTGCACCTCCAAGATCGAATCGCTAATACCAGCCGAAATTGATCCGTAATTAAAGTACATAAGACCACCCACACATGCGTAAGTTGCACGCGCACCGACGCGTCCTTGAGGTTACATAACCGTCGCGCCTCCAAGGTCCTCGGGGGGAGTCCTTGGCCCTCCCCCTCCCCCCTCCGCCCTGCCCGGGACGGCTCGTGTAGCCACATCTTCAAAGAGTAATTGCCTAGTCTGCACTCGAAAATTCCAACGTCATTTCAGGTTTTTTTTTCACCAATAAAGCATGTGCCTGCCAGTGTCAGAAGCCATTTTATCGAGAAAAATGTGTCAAAGGAATTTCGTTTCTACAGCTTCGGGCGGGATTTTCACCTATCATTTATTTTCACTTGCTACCTAATTTCGAATTGTATTTTGAAGAGGGACATAGCATGTGAAAAACGTAATAGTCGTAGCGCGTAAACGTTTTTTCATTTGTTTTTCGTTTTATAAGGCAGGTTTTCAGTGCCTCCATGTAATCTAATGCAGTCTAATTTCGAACAGCTTGACCATAACTTATGTTTGTATACCAAAGCGTGAGCTACATTCTCGTATAAGAGTACATGAGTGTGAGTGAGTACACTCTGCTCTATATCCATGACACCATGCGATTGTTGTTACGGTCAGTACCGGGCAAGGTCAAGGGTGTTATGGTGATAAATCTCACACAATCACACATGTCAACAATAAACAATGCATTAACAAAACAGTCTCACAAAACTTCTATTGTAATGAACTCGTCAGTGGTCGGTCATTCATCAGGATGAACCTTATGAACAATGGTTTCGACAAAATATTTTATATGGCTGAAATTTTAAAAGATCACACAAGAGTATGTAGGTATTTTATCGTAAACCCGCACCTCATTTTCCAAATTCAAATGAATAAATTAGAGATTTCATATGTACCATTCACAACAAATCATGCCATTCAGATGATAGAAATTCCTCAAAAAAGATCTATGTATATTTCTATTCAAACACAAAGACCCGACAAATTGACATCTCATTAAATATACGCCTATAACTGGCATTGATATTATCTTGTGCGCATCATAAGATCATTCTTCTTATTTACACCAACTTTAAAATTGAATAAACGTTAGAACACGTGACTGATACGTATTTATCTGAGCAACATTTGCGTACATAATAAAATCGCTTTTAGTTGCTAGTGACTCGATCGTAAAACGTTATGCAATTTTTCATTCAACTACATTCAATGTAAGATCAACAAGAGTTCAGACTATCAATTGTCTGGGACGTCATTGTTTTGCCAAAATATCTGTCGCTACATTGAAAAAAAAATCTAATCGTGCGCCAATTGAACCAATCGCACCAATCGCCTTGCAACTTTGATAGCATCCGCTGTTATTCTGTTCTAATCATAATTCTTATCAACCGTGTATCTGTGCGGTAGGCCTACCAAATGTAAGGTTATCTTCAATGCAGATATCATGGCTTGTTGACTGGTCTTTATGCCGCTGGGAATAGAGCTCAAGTTTTTTTGGGTTGACGGTATGGTTTACGGTTTCAACTACGCGGAACGGCGTTGGTATCTCACCTTTTAAGTATCTCGAGATGAAATAAGTCGTTAGCACACCCCTTTGTAAACAATACTAAAGTGCCGGTGGTCGAAACTTTACGTACACATTTCGTCATGGTTGCAGGGAGATGGTGCAATGCTGATGCACTTATTTTAAAAGTTGCATGGAAAGTACGAATGACGTCACATTTGTGTGAAATTTTATGAAAGTTGCAATAGGATTTATTTTGAGCTGATGTGTGATGCTAAATGTAAAATACATTCTGAACTGCATGTTTCTATGAAGAATCCAGTTGCACCATTCATGATTTATTACATCAATTTGTTAATTCTAATTGCATCGTCTTTTATTTGGACCTACTATACTTCGAGAGTGAATTAGATATTAGTTAAAGCTAAAATAGATTTTAATATCGATGTGTCGCTTTATCATTTATATCAAAAATAATCCCACAGTAATTGGGGGAGTTGGACTTGGATCCCAAGCTATCAAAGTCATAGCAATCTCTAGAGACATGAGCCAAGTGCGCGGTGCCCTTATTGTCAACAATCAACTGGTACTTTTCCGGCGTCTAAGTACCAATGCATTGATGATCAATCAGAGCACGACGCCGAGTCCCCGATTCATAATCTGTCATCTGAACTACTAGTGCGAAGAGCCGAGCGTCACGAACAGCGGTGAAAAATTACAAAAAAATATATTTCTTTCTCTTTTTTTCTTTTCTTGTGTGGTATACAATAAAGGGTGTTCTATCTATCTACCTAACCGTATGTTTAGAGAATTTTTTTAATAATAATTATTTCATAACAATTTATCTTTTTCATTGTTATTACTGGCCAGTGACTTTCAAAACTACAATGTAGAGTCATTCCTTAAAATATTTCGTTTTTTCTTAAACGCACCATGAAATAAAAACAATAAGATAAATAGTGAAGTGAATCGTGAAATGAATGAGAAAACTGATTTAAATATTAATAGTGTTGTTTACTTATAAATAGACACTTCAATGACGTCTTTTGTGACGGTAGGCGCAACATAAAGGTGTTAATAGTTGCTGATGGCAATGGAAGATGTTGTTAACATGTGCAACATACCAGCATCCGTAGCCTTAGGCCACAAAGACGTACACAAAAATGCGGGTGTTGAAAAATAGACATTACGTCACAAGCTATAGAGATGTACATAAATTAGCAATAAGATATAATACAAAGTCCACTACTGGACTATCTATACTATACTAAGATTATAAAGCTGAAGAGTTTGTTTGTTTGCTTTCGCGCTAATCTCAGGAAAAATAATGTTCCGATTTGAAAAAATATTTTTGTGCTGCATAGCCCATTTATTGAAGAAATCTTTAGGCAATAGATGCCTACAGCCTACAGCCAATAGAGAAAGCGGAGCAGTAAAAAAAAAATGTTGCAAAAACGGAATATATTATTCAAACTGTTTTCATGCATACGAGTTCGCGGGCACAGCTAGCAGAGTATAAACACAAGCAAAAGAAAGACGCTAACATGAGTAATGTATAACTAAATCCCATTTTTTACGCACAACAAATCAGTATCTACACGAAAACTATTTTGTAACATTAAATTGTAGCATTGACCTTCCTCGTAACACCAGCGTCATACAATTGTCTTCAACATTCATTAAATTGCTTTGAAATGTGCTCGAGTGGACTTTAACGGCCGTTCCCCGGTCCATCAAATCATCGCGGGTTCGAGTCCCGGAAGGAGCATTATGTGATACACATTATTTATAGGTACATATATGTATACTCAAGACTGTATATTCGACTCACACGCTTGTAGTATAAATAAAACTATTTACATATTAGAATTAGACATCTCTCTCACTCACTTTGGGATGTTGTTATGAATGAGAAAGAAAAATAGAACTTTCATACCGAAAATCTTAATAATTTTGAGAAGAGAGACTTTTCTGTCTATTCATACGAACTTCGCAAGGTTTAGAATTCATAACTATACGATTTTAAGTCGTGAAAACGCAAATTACAATACTCCAGGTCATACTCTGATCTCTGTCGGGTAGTTAGTAAGCATTGAAAGTAAATAATATGATGTATTTTTACTTACTGTAAGTCTTTAAACTTTAGAGGATGACAATACAGTATTGTTGTTATAAATTAAACAGCTGCAGGTCAGTCAACTTGAGACTGAACTACGCAAACACTATGTACCTGTATTAAGTTTTAAATACTTGTAGCGTAGTCGTCATGCAGTTAAATAGGGAACCAACCAAATAAACATCCAGTGTCATTACGAAAGAGTATCATTTTTGTAATACAGCTGTAAATATTAACACTAAACTTATAAGATTCGTCACGAACTTGTCGCTAAATGGACTAGCCACACGAGATCATGCAGAGAAACGCATGGCAAGCCGCGGCCTCTTCCGCGCTGTGCGCTAGGTGCTACCCGCGCGCGGTCAGGCCGCGGACGCTTGACAGTTTCTATGCAAATGCTCACGCGCTGCGCGACCAGTTTCGGCCCCGCGGTTCCGGGCCTACTCTTCGACTATACACGCCCATAAATTACCTCTAAGCACTCGCACTATCCCAAACAGGATCCATTTAACATTATATTAACACTTAACCAAATTCGTTACCGACCAACGTGCTAGAACCCACGTGACTCATCGCAGATACAGCGACAGAAATCGCCAGGGAACCGGCCGCAGCAACTTCAGCGTAGAACAGTGATGCAATATTTTCCAACAAAAAACTTTTAGAGATTCGGCTTCATTATCAAGTTCAATAGCCCCAAAATGACAGCACGTGTATGCAAAAACTCGTAGACAACGAACCACTGCGCAAAAGTATCTTCTCTTAGGAACATTTTAAGGTGCAAACTTCTGTACCCAACCGTAATACTTAAAATTTATCGTATACCGTTGAGCATCAAAACATATTTATCAATGACATTGTATCCCAAAACTTATTTAAAAATTATCCAGAGCGACTTTTAAATGAGGTTAAGCGCTACGCACTTTTCTCATGACAACTTCCTGGTAAGGTCACACCCGAATAATGTGCGGTGCTTGAAAATAATAATTGTCGGTCCACGTGTGGGCGCTGATAATAAAAAAACAATACTTTCCTCGATTCCATTTTGTAAATTCCACAGTCCTTTGTATCGTTAATAGAAAACCATCAGTGCTCTGTCGAGCAATGCACAACTATCATAGTTTGTATCACTGGGAGCGTGCGTGTTCACTGTTACACTGGAGGTTCACTGGTATCATCAGCGACGGTCGCTGGTTCACTTCCGCATGTTGCAGCGCGCGCGCCGCTCGGTCCGTGTGCGCTCGCGTCGCTCCTAGCCGTCGGGAGCCTCGCTCGCGAATGCGACAGCCGAAAACTCTTTGCGCCGCCGAATGCAGAAAATTCGGACGCGCCGAACGAGTGGGGGACGCTCTACGACTATCCGATACTTGCGCGCGTACGTGCTGCGCTTCGCTATGAAAAAATCCAAGGTTAACGCGCGATGCCAAAAAAAGACGCACGCAAATGAAAAAAGACGGCTAGAGGCGGCGCACCTTGCGGGCCCTCCGATGCAGCGGGCTGCGTGCACGCAGGCTAGATAGACGCGGCTGCTGCCTAGGCCGGGTGCTCCCGCCGCGTGTTGATATCCAAGGTTGTTGACTTTAATGACTAATTACAGGTACTCTCTGGCCTTGATCTTGTCTACGTACTCAGTACGAATTTAGGAAACATAATCATAAAGACTTCTTTTTGTATTTGAAGGCCCTTTAATTAATTAAAATTTCGTTGAGAAATTGTAAGGAAAAATGTTAACGAAATCGTGAGCAATCAGGAAATTGTAATGTAAGCCCCTTTGATTTTGAAAGATTTCTTTTTAATAAATTAAAAGATAGATAAAAGTGTACATACCAAGATGGAATAAAAATACGTTTAATCAAAGTGAATGTTTTTTTATAATACCTACCTTCTAAATACTTTCATAAATTAATAAAAAATAATTCATTTGCCTAAAAAGCAGTCTACCTAACGATGTAACAGAAGACAAAAACAGTCCACCTAGCGATGAAAACAAAGATCAGCCATCGAAATCAGTTCAAAAAGTTTTCAAGCAAGACGATCTAGATCCCCTGAAGCCAGGATAATCTGCGTGACTAGGCCGTTCTTAAAATTGGATGCTTCGGTTATCAAAAAAGGTCTCCGAGGTAAACCGCGATACAGAGATAACGCGGTGTTCCTAATTTTTTATTAAATTCAAGCATAAGTGCGATCTTTTTCTCATCCTTTTTTTCGTCAAATCTGAACAACGAAAAGGGTTAAGCGACAGACATTTCTATAGCTAATGGGTTAAAGTTGTAATCTGTTTGAAACACCGTTCAACAAAAAGCATGGCTTTGCTTGGTTATTAATGTTTCCAATTGTTAATAAAATAGTTTTTAGATGTACTTTTAAGTATAATAGATGGTGGAACTAATTTCAATTGATACAATCTCTCTGTGTTTCGCCACAAGCTTATTTAAGAAAGATGCATATCAAAAACCAAATAAAAGGCTTAAGAAAACTTGGTTATAGTTTGAGAACATAAATAATTAATGTTGATCATTATAAATTACAAGCTTCGACATCAAGGCTACAACATACGAAGTTTATACTACCTAGGCCTTTTATCTAATAGCACAGAATACATCTAATAGCCTGTCTTACACGTTTCCAACCTGGGGCGCTACTCCCTCCTTACTCTTTCTGTAGTTTTGGGTCTATCTATTGCTATTACTCATGTTAGCATCTCGCTTTACGGTTCAAAAATCAGTACTGAAACTTTTCATCACTCGTTTTTTAATGTGGTGATTATAAGTTTTGAATTTCTCCAGAGCGCAACGTCATGTCACTATAGTCACTTGTTGTTAATTCTTAAACTGAAATATAAAAACATAAAATTTTACTGTAGTCGTATGGCTATTAATTAAGGTTAATGTGTTTACAAAGTAGTGAACTAAAATACTTTCAAGTTATTTTTCGCTGCAAGACAGCGTCTTTTCATTTTCATCATGTAGAGGCAGTACAATTCCTTTAACCCGCCTTAGGTAGTCCATTCATTTAAGCTGTATGTTCGTTTGGAATATAAGAGCATTATGCATGAATAATGAATAATCCTAATTTGAAATTTCCTGACTAATATGCGCAGTAAGGCCCAGAACAGACGGTTAAACGCAACTGCAACGAAACTGCAACTGCTAGTTACTTTTGAGTTGCATCTAAGTTCTGCCATAGCTGCATAGCTGCTGGATGCAGACCGCTACCAAGCGGGCGTTGTGGAAATCATTGGGGATGCCTATGTTCAGCAGTGGACGTCCTGTGGCTGAAATGATGAGAACGCGGTCGAAGTATTTAGAAGTAGAGATTGAGTCTAGTTCATTTCCCTCCCGGAAACAACTAACCGTTGTATTGCAAATGAACCACAAACGGCATGGCCTTGCGACTCACTTCCTGAAAGCACCTTTTCTTATTTCAAACTGCATTGATTACAGCTAATTTATCATGAAAAATCTGTGCCTTAACCGTTTCGAATTGAAATTTTCCGAATTTAAGGACCTTGTTTTTTTATTAGGCTTACAGTGTGGCCCACATTTCTCACGCTAACCTGACAGGTTGAGGATATAGAATGTGGAAATGTTGAGGATAAAGAAATAGTGAGGATTGAGAATATTAGCGTCACCAAAAACCCAGCAACGGTAAAATATGTATATCAAAATTAATTTATTTTAGATTTAGAATACGAGTATTAGGCCACACCAAAAACCCAACTGTAAAATTTTGTGTATTTTTTAATAAAAACCCATTGAAACGTAAAATTTTCCTGAATTCAATTATTTACAATGCATCAGCGTGCCCAAATTCATAGAATAAATAGCGTAAAGTACATTCGGCTTATCAATAAGGCAAGGCCACGTGACGAGCGAACGTGATAACGCATTACGCTTAGCATTAGACTACAGGATGTTGGAAATGCGCCGCCCTGTGAAAATAAGGGCTTTTTTTTACGTCTTTTTCTATAGGTTTTCTTTAGACAGTCTTAAGTCATCACTGGTAACACACATTGGTTTGACTTTCGTCTTCAGGCACTGAGGTATTTTGGATGAAAAGATGTTGCGTAGTTTCCCGAAGGCTGCCGAGCCGATTAACCTCTTTCTCGAAATTGGGCCTACCTAGCTAAATCATTTCTCCGAGGTAGACATACTTGTCAACATTCTCGAGAATTGAGCTCCCAACCGAATCTGGGTAGGGCACAACATGGACATTGGACATAAGCTTCGTTCACAGAAAAGCGCTGGATGCAGGCCGCTACGAACCGGGCAACATGGAAAATATTGGCCTATGTTCAGCAGTGGACGTCCTATGGCTGATGATGATGATGATGAGTCTTACAACTGCCACATTTTTACGACGCCTTTAAATTGTTTTCACGAACAGTAGTCAAAGTATACTTGTTTTTCAGAGCTTTCAAAAACAGATTATATTAAGTTTATCAATTGTTCATGCGGTCATAAAATTGAGTGTATTTTTACGGACAGTTCTCTCCAACTAAAATAAAGAACCGCGGATCTCAACATGGTTTTTTTTTTCACAAGAAGTCACTCTCTAGTTGTACCTATGTAGTTCCATAATATTTATTATTGTAAATTATTCGTAAATTATTCGATAAATACTTTTAAGGTTTTCGTTTCTTAGTTGCCTGGCAAGAAATGCCTATTCATCTTAACTTACATTTGGCCGTGACATTGTAGTTATGAAATTCATACTTGTTTGTGTTGTTTACTTTCCTTCAATTCCCCCTAAGCTAAAATCTATAGGAAAAATGATTCGCGTAAAGAAATATGTCTTCAAGGGTAATCAAGGGGTAATTTGGCAATCCGATATGTTTGAAAAAAATCGCTGTGCGCTATTATTTGTGTAGTTGCAGGTTTGATTCCCGCTGGGGCAAATGCTAGTGTGAATAAGCATGTATGCCCGGAGTCATGGGCGTATACTATATTAATTTGCAACAGTTTAGGTTTGTTTATGTCGTACAATCGTCATAAACTAATGCAAGCTCTCCTTAAGTTGAGGGTTTGGTAAGAAAATTTACCCGACTGAAAAAAACCTTCTTATGGAATTGTAAGGGATGTCACTTCTCAAAATGGTGGTAGAGTAAGCTTTGATTTGGATGCGCGTATGTGCCCTAGAAAGGGCATACAATAACAAATTTTAAACGTTGCCAAAAAAGTTAAGCATGTAGGAAACGCCAAAAAACTTCAACCTGTACCCAAACGGTTAGGGCTCGTAAAATCCTTGCAGGGTTATCTAATCAACCTTCGGCACGCACACCGCTGCACCGTGCCGTTATCAAATTGAAATTAGATCGACGGAAAGAGGCCTGCGGAGCGGCTTCGATTCTTTAGACAATTCTATCAAATCAAATCAAATAATTTTATTTGCGGTACAATGGAATATTAAAGGATATAATGGATAATAATAATAATAATCGTGATCACACTGATCGCCATCTTCAATCAGGCCATTTGGTCTCCACTGCAGGAGCAAGAACCTCTCTAATTTACCAGAAGCAAATGGAGGATTTGGTCTAAACTCCTCACGCTGATCTAAAGTTTGATATGAATGAACAGTAAATTTCGACTTGGTAGTGAAAAGAAAACCTACTGGTTTACTTTCATAGTTTGAATTTGATATTTTTAAATAATATATTATAACCAGCGCCAGTCAGCCTACTAACAACAGGGAGAGTTGGCGGGAGATCGTGCTCAGAGCTGTGTTCACCTCTACCACTAAGGCCCAGAACAGACGGTGAAACTCAACTGCAACGAAACTGCAACTGCTAGTTACTTTTGAGTTGCATCTAAGTTGAAACTTTCAAACTGGTCGCGTCATGTGTGGTCTCTCAACGGACGCTATGGCAGAAACTTAGATGCAACTCAAAAGTAAGTTGCAGTTTCGTTGCAGTTGCGTTTCGCCGTCTGTTCTGGGCCTAAAGTGGACGCCTCGATGTGATCACAACTATAAAATTTTGCCAAATTTTGCAATTAGACCTTTAAAATGCGCTTTTACACGTCCCATTTAAACAATGAGGACAATAAAGTGGGCCAATGCTGAGACTACACCAAACTTATATCGCGTGTACGAGTATAGTCACTAAAACTAAATAGAGAAGATGTAAGTAACTAATAACTGATTGTAAACCTAGGCGCAGGCCATCGATTTTTAGTTGACCGATAGTTGGGCCCGATTCTAATTTGTATGAAGAATCGGCCGATACCAAATCGGTGTAATGTGCGCACTCTCATACATCTCCATACTGATTAACAGCCTGACCCACCTATCGGCCAACTAAAAGTCGATGGTCTGTAGGTATAAGTATACCGGAGGCGTTTAACGAGAATAAGTATCAATCAGCAATGTTTTTCTATTAGTATCAAATACAAAATCTAGCAAGAAATCAAGATGTCCCACTACCGAGGTGGAGTTAATCAATACGTGCAAGTTATCTAATCTAATTGTTTTGGACTCACAAGTCAGGGGCAAATCTTATCTCATGGAGATATTAGACACGTTTTTCTAACATCTCCGTTACTACTTCTACAATGTACAACTGAATGGGTATAAAAAAAACAGTTTTTGGACTGAAAATTTATTTTAGGGTGGTTGACCATATTTTTGGTATGAATATCTAAAACGCATTCATTTTAATGTAAGAATTATAATAATCATACACTCGTGTCGAAATAGAATAATTTATCTATGTACAGTCGACGGACACAAAATTTTTGTTGAAAACTCGCTCCTATTCCAACGGCTTAAGATACTACACCTTGATGTACTGTATTAACTACAATTG